CCTCTGACGTTGTTTGCCTCTATAATGGATGCTGTGGTGGAAAGCTCCCCTTCACTGTCTGAGGATTCGGCTTTCCGTGTTCTTTTCCTTTGCTGTATGATGTACCGTTTCCTTTTAGTTTTTGGTCGGTCGAAACTGTCTGGCCTCATAACTCTTGCTGTAACTTGATAACCGGATTCGATTCAAAAACCTCCCTTCTTTGATCGGCCCTTCTTTTGTTTTATTTATTAACGATCATTTCTTTTGAACCGCTGAGTGTTTGAATGCCATAGGAAGTTGCGTACTGTTTCAAACCCAATATTAAAATTAGATAATTCACGACAAATTTGTTGTCTTGCAAAACCAACAATCAGACAGAAAAACAGAACTCAAATAAAATAAGGAAAGTTGTTATCGATTTAACCAGGTGCTTCCCAGTTCATACCCACTCAAGCCAGGGTCGAAAAGAATCCGGCAATAGAGATAGCGTTTGTTGACCGGTTTTGACGCGTAAATCGGCCGAAACCGATCTGATTATTTCATTGTTCTTTTCGATGATAAACAAGTGGTCGCGGAATTGGCTGACGCCTTGCTCCGTTTCGATCGGCCAACAAACCTTGATGAATCATAATCATCACGATCTATTGCCCAAATGGGATTTATTCAATTCTTTAAAAAAATTATCTTTATCAACAAAATGGATTTTTCCTCTCCGATCTTTTCGATGAGGTCGAGGAAGCGGAAAAATTAGCTGCATATCGCGCATTTATCGTCTCGTCATTGAAGCCAGGCGTTGTGTGCGTTTTTATTAAAAAAAAAGGTCATCTCCGGAATTCCTTGACATCTATATCAACCATAGTTCCAGCTTTCTGAGAAAAAAAGGACAATTTTGAATTATCGAGTCCTTTGATATTAAAGAGCGTATAGCCAATAGATCATCGTGTACAGTTTGGAGAAAATATTTAGCTTTTCATTGAATTTGAAGGGGGGGAAATCAACTAAACTTCAAGAATTTTTATTTTTCGGCCACCCTCCAATGGCTCTTGAAACAAACAATTTAAATGAACAATCAATTAAGGAATGGTTTAATGTTTGAATTGAATTTTATCCCAGTAATTTCAATTTTACTACAAACTATACTGATCGAAACTCATAACTTCAAGTTTTCTTTGGTATTTCGTCAAGATACAAAACCGACTGGAAAGAGGGACAAGAAAATGATCTGAAGTTGAAGTGAAAAGTGGGTTAACTTTAAAATCGTGCCATTCCGGAAGTAGCGTTTAATGGTTTATAATTTTACCAGAAATCGTGTAGGAGATCAAACTTCCCGAGAATGAGCTTTTCCGATCCTCTCAACGTTGCCATAACATTCTGAAGTGGTTTTGATGTTTTCCCGTTCTCTTGTCTTGTATTAATAACAATTTTACCAAATAAACAACTTACTTGAGATTTATTCAATATTGATAAGTCGTATCTTTACGAATTTCATTAGTAAAAGTTATTCACTAAATAATGTTAATAGTGGTTCAATTAATTAGGGTTTTTAGTTGAGATAAAAAAGTAAGTGTCACGAGCGGGATTCGAACACACGACCTTCGGCTAGATACGCCGCTACTCTACCACTTGAGCTATCGTGACTTCGATCCACTCGGACACCAATTCTCCATCTCAACCCCACCCTTTGAATTTTCCCTCCTTTTTGCCATTTTTCAAGTTGTTTATCTCAACTAAAAACATTAATTAATTGAAAGATATTAATTGGTCAAGCGGACCACGAAAACTAGTGAAGTTAATAGTAGTACATACTAACTGCTAACCGAATCGAAACAGATGAAGAAGAATTGGATTGATTAAACCAAGAAAAAATAATTTTATGTTATACACTGACAGTTTATTATTCAAAATGCTTCAGAAATCACTTTTCATAAATTTACGATTTAATCATCTTCATATCGTTGACAAATCGAATCAATTTCTAATGATTTATATAAACTCAAATCTGCATAATTCGGCCTTCTCATAATTCAAATTCAAGCTAATAAATACGTTCACTCTCAACGCCCGCTGGGGATACAAATCAGTACACTGTTTCCTCCAAAAATCGGAATAGGGAGCCCAAACATTCGATGAAATGTTCAAGGATAATTCTCATATGGGGTGGCATTACTAAGCGCTTTCTATATGGGAATTGCATGCCAAAATTAGGTGGGATACACCGAGCAACCTTTCTCTGCATGCCCCTGCTGACTCTAAAGTGTCCGAGTGTCAAACCTCGCATGGCTCATTCTTAATTGGATGAGGATGACCCTTCTTCTACGAGTCAGATCCTCCCTGGGCCACCCATCGACATCATCTTCATATTGAGAGCTCCTCTACCGATCCGACTCACTGACACTGCCTCTTTCTTTAATCATATTTTTATTGCAATTTTAGCGTCAGTGGGCTAGATCGGCCACTTACTATACCACGGAGATTAGCTGTGGGGGGTAACTGACCTGCAATGGAAGCGGACCAAGATATGTTATTTACTGCGTTAATCAGTTGTTCTTATATTTCATGTTCGCTTCTTCACTTTACGGAACCAAAGTTAGCTTCCTAACACAACGTGCCACTATGGCTACTATTGCGCCCCATGCAAAACCAACCAACGCCGGCACTTGGATGTGATGGATATTGGATGGCTTAGCGGAAACTCACTGTTCGACTCCGTATGTCCAAAGTGGTCGCAGTTAATTGAGTTTTGACGGTCAAAATATATTTCAGTAATAGAAGTCTTCATAGTTGTCCAAGATGTTGTACAGGAATTGTCCTAACATGTTTCCTTCATTCTTGTCTTGTCAGTCTTTGATGTAATAAAGGCGTTTTTGGAAGTTGCTTGGATAGGATTTGAATTAGAAGATAAAATTGTACTGTCATCCGGACAGGTGACAATGGAATCGGAAAGTCAGCAGTATGTATAAATGGTATACAGTTTGAAGTCAGACTTTACGACATGCAAATGCGCAGACAGATTTGACATAGTGAAAAGACGCTTGTGCAGTAGGGTTAGGATGGATCGAAAGCTTGCTGTTGCGCGATTGAAATACGGATTGGATCAGTTCGTTGTCAAAAAGAAAGTTGAGGTCGTAGACAGTAAAGATCGTGACGTTTGACTATTTGTCTGAGTACTTTTGATTAAAAGTATGCAGTGGATTGAATGGCTTGGCATTCCACAGCTCACTCGAATTGCGTTTTGATAGCTGAAGTCTTTGTAGATCTGTTTCTGACATGAGTGGAAGTCCTCTTTGTTGATGTGCAGTACATTTTTTCCACTCAGTCTTTTCCTGCAGTTTTCGCACCAGTTATAAACTCAATGTGTTTTTGTATGTTGGAAGTTGCTTAGATAGGTTAAAGACCAACTCGCTGTGACGTCCGTGATGGTGTAGGGATGTATAGGAAAATCAACAGTATAAATGGTACACAGGGTGGGACCGAGAATGCTCCCTTGTCGGACGACTTGTTTTGGTATATCTACCATCGCCGCACCTCACTCAGAATCAGCGGTCAGTTAAATAAGATAGGTAGGACGTTTATACAGGTTGCCTGGGTGCCAGGCCTTGTGGAAACCCTGAGCCACATCCACGAACGCACCCCAGCAATACTCACTGTTCTCTAGAGCGGATGATAAAATGTGAAACTAACTAGATAATCAAAAGATCGAATTTAAGGTGAATCTTGGATAGTTTTTCTGTAAAGTAAACTAGCATACCTTTGCAAGCACTTAATACTGGGCCTTCCTTCGTCTTAGCAAACAAGTTGCGGAGTGAGAACCGGATTTCAAACAAATCATCGCAGTTCAAGAGTGTATTTTAACTGGCCGATCACCCGATCACGAAACGCCATTGAAACATTTGAATTAATTGACCCTGGCAATGGGTATTAATCCCAATCAGCAGAATCGTTCAAATCTAGAAATTCTAACTCGAACCGAATCAGTTCGAAGGGACTGTCCGGCCGGTTATCATATCCTGAAAGAGGTTCCAGTTACGAAAATAAGTCATATTTTATTCACATAACTTTTCGAAGTAAGATTTCAAAATACGACTTTTACCCACCTTTTTAACATTCCAGACATTTTAAGTCACAATTCATCAAATTTCTTCTCGTTTTGTTATCAAATTCTTAGCGGAACAGGCTTAAGCTCCTTGATACCAAAATGTTCAAAACAATACTCAATATATATTTTTTTAATTTAATATGACTGTTTGTTTGTAATAAATCTGATATTACTATGATCGAAATATCCGTCTCACTTTGTGAATTTCATTTCATACAGCTTTCAAAACTCACCCTTGAGCAGCTAAAGCAAACTCAAGTTCCACCATTTTGGAATCATTCAACCGGTTTCTTTTACCAAAAGTGTTTCAAATTTGTAAGAATATTATAAGAAGCTTACATTACCATTCCAGCCAAGCGACCGACGGTTTTGACAAAAATAGACATAAAATATTAAAATAATGTAGACAGCAAATATGTTACATCATTTAACAAATAGATATAGATTTCTTTAAAAGTATTATCACGTAATATGTAGAAATAGTAGATAACAATAAAAAGAACGTTTGATTTTTGTTTTTCAAAGAAAAATACTGATAGGACAACACAGTGATTTTAGAACAGTCCAAAATCAACCCTGTGTTATGAAGTTGGTACGATTTGTCCGGGAATTCTAGATCAATTTTATTACGTTTTATTTCTTTGGCAGACAGTATGTGTACTATTTGTACTCCAGAAATTTTCGATCAATTTTAATGACAATATTTATTATATATTATTTTATTTTTTACCAAAACAATTTTTGTAATAATATAAATTTTTTCAAACTTACTTAACAACAATAAGCTAGAGCTGTAAATTTTAATTGAAAAAAAAAAAAACATATTTCCATCACTCGTCGAACCTTAAAACCAAAATTTATCACATTTTTGTCTTTTTTTTATTAGCCTATGTATTAAAATGATGTATTGTTATTTGTTTTATAGGAGGACCCTTAGTCAGGATTCGCCCTATTTTATCGCAATCGCAGACAGACCGATAATGGAAACAGGGAACTCAAAGGTGAGCAATTTCATACTTTTACATGAAACGCAGGTGTCGAGAATAAAAAACGAAACGTGTTTATACAAAGAGATCTACAAGAAAGATAAAAATAAAAGGACTAACAGAGATAAGTAAGAAAAGTTGGCCTTGGCAGGTTTAAGATTTCTGTACAAAAAGCTTCCATTCTCAAAGGCCTGAGATGAAGCGTCGAAGGCTTGAAAAATTTTAAACGTTCAAATACAAATTTAAAACATTAACAAAATGCTTAAGTTAACGGAATATTTCTAAAAGTACAACAAGAAAATGAACTGGTCCCGAACTTTGCGCCAAAAGCCAATTTACGCTCTTGTCAATGCTAAGTTAAATTGAACTAGCAGATTTATATCGTCCGTTCCATTCTATGTAAATTTGATTTGAAAAGCTTCCGACGAAAATAAAATTATAATGCTCCGATCCCAATGGTTTATTACAAAACCAAATTTACCCCCAATGCAGTCTCTCTCTCTCTCTCTCTCTCTCTCTCTCTCTCTCTCTCTCTCTCTCTCTCTCACACACACTCACATACAAATATCTATATTCATTTTATACTCATTAAATATATGTTTTCATGCTTTAATTTATGCATGTTTTTTTATTTGTTTTATTCCTTAACTACAAATACGCAACATATACACTGAGAGGCAAAAAGAGTAGCCACTTTTAATATTTTTAATTATCTCTTAGACAAGCCTCCATTGGTTGATTATCTTATAACAATGTTAGGTCTTGTTTAAAGGATTAGAGGTAAATAAAACAGATAAAATCTCCCACTTGTGTTTACAATTGGATTTTGTCAAGAATTCTTTAAAAAGTCAATTTCTTTTTTATTGGTTTTTCTGTAAAGCTTCTTTCTAACGTTCCGGTGGTTAGATATTTTAAAGTTGTACCGTTGTTAAGTTTCAAATTTGTTTGAGTGATGATTTTAGGTGGTACAGATTCGCCTAGTATTATAGCATTGTTGGAAGATGGAAGAAGTCATGCGTACGTGGCCAGGGTGCTTAATAATCCCGGAACACCTGTCCGAAGAGTCTTCTTCCATCGCTACCAAGATACCGGAGGTTACTCAAGAAGACATGGATAAGATGACCATCATGTCACAGCTCAGAGTCGATCGTTTTATTGTATCGAATGTACTCCGTAATCGAAATTCTACCGCTGTTGAAATCAAACTACGATTTCAACAAGTAAGAAATGTTAATGTCAGTTTTCGCACTGTAAGGCGAAGACATTCAGAAATTGGATTACGTGGGGGAAAGCTTGCCTTTGGTCCCGAACTTCTAACAAGGCGCAGAACAACTCGGTTAAGCTAAGTTTAAGAAGCTACGAAGATGGTATTTCGGTAGGCATTTCTATGGAAGGTCGCGCAAACTTGATCTTCATCGAGGGTTCCCTAGCCCATACATTTTCACTCCGGAGAACCTATGGAGGCGGCGATGTTATGGTTTCGGCAGACATTTTTATGGAAGGTCGTACTTGATCTTCATCGATGGTTTCCTCACAGCTGCGCGATACATTGAAGATATGTTGTTCATTTATGCCACTAATAGGCAAGGGTTTTATTTTTATGCATGACAACAGATAAGATTGTAGGATCTGTTGGTGACTTGGAACTGGCGTCATTTCAATGTCTGGAATGGCCAGCATATAGTCCGGACTTAAACCCTATCGAACATCATTGTAATGAATGATGCAAATGATACAAAAAAGGGTACAAAGTCGACTATTAATGCCAGAGAATTTGGAATTAAGAATGACCATGAATATTAAAATATTCCACATCACTACATGCAAAAACGCATAAAAAGTATGCCACGTCGAATGCAAGCGGTGATCAACAGAGAGAAGGAAATACTCCGCACTGAATTGTACATTTTCTTCATTAATCCATATTTGCCAAGTGGTCATAATTGACCATATTAATTATTCTTTTTATGTAAGGTTTTTGGTTGAGATGAAAAATTATCGTCACCAGCGGGGGATTCGAACCCACAAGCTTTGGCCAATATGCCGCTGCCCCAACCGCTTGAGCTGTAGGGACTTCGATCCCCTCCGACTCGAACTGCTCATCTCAACCTACTCCAATTATTCTCCCTCTTTTTGCCATATTTTCATTTTTTAATATGGCAAAAAGAGGGAAATCCTAACGGTTGTAGGTTGAGTCGAGGAGTGTTGAGTGCTCGAGTGGTTAGAGCAGCGTATTGAGTCGAAGGTCGTGGGTTCGAATCCCGCTCGTGACGCTACTTTTTCAACTCAACTGAAAACCATAGATACAAGTATAAATAATTGGAATTTTTAGTGAAGCTGTTTTACTCAGTTTAATTTTTTGTTTGGTTTGTTCATTTAGATATCTTATATTTTTCTTTAAAAATAAGCAACAAGTAAAAATATTAAGGGTGGCCACTTTTTGCCTCTCATTTATTTGTATGTATTTATTTATCTCCCTCGTCTCTAGAAATTATTGTTATAATTCACCAAGATTAATAGCTTAGTGGATTAGTGTATTGTAATAGACTATTGTATTTGCAAATTTATTACACTAATACTGGAAGTTTATGCATCAGTAATTCACGTTCAGTATCTGGTATGGGAGGTGATGAATCCTTACTTTGGTTTCTTGGTCTACCTATTTTCATTGAGTTGAACTTTTTCGGCATTTTCACTGGGTTCACTGTTGATGGGATATTTTTCCAGACAGTCAATTCGTAAGAGACAGCCGTGCAATGTCCGATGGAAAATCTACGCGCCAATAGCGGGCGTCAACTGTCCAGACAATTAAGCATAGTTTGGGTGATTGACATCGATAGACGGATTACGCAAGAGAATATCGTCCATTTAAGTGTCTTTACATTCCATAGAAGATTTTTCTTGGATTTTATGCACAAGTTAACAAAACGTGACCTTCGATTTATATTGATATGATATACATAACGTTTTTTTTAATTTAATTAAAAATCTAGTGTGAAAACTATATTTGCATCAGTTTTACTATCTTATTCGTTGTTAATATGTACTTTCGATTAATTAATCTTTATGTAAGGTATTAGTTGGATTAAAAAAGCCAGCGTCACGAGTGGGATTCGAACCACGGACCTTCGGCTAAATACGCGGCTGCTCTACCACTTGATCTATATTGACTTCGATCCACACGGACACTTCCCATCTCAACCACCTTTAGATAAAAAAGCGAGTGTTACGAGTGGGATTCGAACCCACGACCTTCCGCTCAATACGCCGCTGCTCTACCACTTGAGCTATCGTGACTTCGATCTAGTCGAACTCCAACTTCCCATCTCAACCACCTTTAGATAAAAAAGCGAGTGTTACGAGCGGGATTCGAACCCACGACCTTCCGTTCAATACGCCGCTGCTCTACCACTTGAGCTATCGTGACTTCGATCTAGTCGAACTCCAACTTCCCATCTCAACCCACCTTTAGACAAAAAAGCGAGTGTTACGAGCGGGATTCGAACCCACGACCTTCCGCTCGTGACAATGGCTTGTTGATATGAACTAGTACCTTACATACAGATTAATTAATTGAAAGAAGTTATTTTGTCAATCGGGCCACTTAATCTAATGGGGTTAATATGTACATTTTATTTGTATTGATAGTTTGCTAAAGTTGTAATTTGACGTTCTTTCCAAATTAAACTTACCCTGATAAAAAATTCTTGGAAGCAAGGTTTGAATTTTCTGTTAACTATAAACCAATGAACCCAATATCTGTCTTTCTTTCAGCCAACAGACCGTGTCCGCGGCCTATTTTTCATCCTACATCCGAGGTCGACCTCGGAAATCAGGTGATTTTTTAATCTGACGATGCTTGTTTTCTATACATTGTTAAAAGCATAAGTCAACTTCAGACGTTTAATAAGATTTAAGATTGTAATAGTACTTTCACAATAATTGCAGTTATAAATTTATTTACATAAAAAACTTAGAGTTGATGCTGTCTGTTGGTCTGGGTGTCGGTGAACTCATGCTGAACCGGCATTGGGTCATTGGGTTCATCTTCACTCCTGTGATTGATTCAAACGCGCACCTTCAGATAGTTCGTAGTTTGGAAACGCGTAGTTTGAAACAGTTCCTATGAAAATTTCCGTACTGAAGTTGGCGCAGTGCCGAAACGCGTTTGTGCAGTTCAACAAACCCGTGTGAAAACGTACCCAAATGTGACACAATGATGGTTCAGCGTGATAAAAATAACTTGTTTATTATCCTCTGGGATTATGTAATCTTGAATCTTACCAACACGTTTGAACCTGCAAAATTTTAAAAACGCAGTTGCTGAATAATTAAATCCGAGGCGAGGTCCACAATCGCCAGTGTCGAAACTTTCTCAGATTTTCACCTTCATCTTGACGGTCAGCGGTTTGTAGTGTAATGCACCAAGTATTTACGCCTAAACGAGAATTCAAGTGGGTAGCCTCGACATTTCACACTTCGGGGGCTTAATTACAAAATTTCTACTTAACACAAAACCTTTAGGTTTTGCCATAAACATTTCTTTATAGAAACATTGTTATAGACTGACAGGCAATAAATTCCACCCACTTGTAATATAACTTGATTTGTATATATTGTTATATATTAATCAAAGTTTCACGTTTTTTAATGTTTAATCATTGAGTCTTTATCTAAAAAAGTAAAAAACTGTCAATTTCTAAAGAAAATGAAAAAAGGACGAACAGATAAAATTTGTTTTAATTTTGTTTTAGATGTTTTATTAACATTTCAATATCGCGTTTTTCCTCCTTTTGCCTTAATTACATCTCGAAGACGCCTCGGCATATTTTCTAAAAGTCTGGAAATGTCTCTTTGCTGGAGGTTAGCCCATTCTTCACGAAGAGTCCTTTCAAGATCGTGGAGTGTATCAGGAAGTGATGGACGTGCTCTTATTCGTCTTTTGAGGTTATCCCATAAATGTTCGATGGGGTTCAAGTCTGGAGAACGGGCTGGCCAGGTAAGACCTTGATGTT